AATTAAAAGTTCTTGAATTATCTTTGTCTGTCTGAAAATCGAGCATACTCTCTGCAACTCTTGACTCAGTGTTATAGAAACTCTTATCTCAAAAATATTGTTGTATAATGTGTAAAACATCCATTTTCTATAAAAGGTATCTCTTGATTTGCGTCATTGTAATACATGTTAAAAACTTTATATTTATTGATCTGGATTTAGTATTGATATTTATTCTGCAATCATTTTTTGCTGGATATTTTAGAACCTTATGCCATCTTTAAAGTCTTGTACACTATGATAATAAAGATGCAATCAGAAAATAAAAAACACATTATATTAGTGCCAACACAGATATAGACATAAACACTAGTTACAAGGAAAGATTTGACCACCGGCATGAAAACCCTCCACTAGTATTACTTGTTTCTTTATCTGACATATTAATGTTTTTTAAAAGATATTCACGTCTCTAACACTTGAAGTGAAGCAATGAAAATACTGTTTATCTTTACCTTTAAATGTTTATCTTCAAGATCCTGAAAGTGATACTAATAGTTTTTATTTGTAATGTTAAGACAGCTGCCAAATATTCTTGAACATTTCTGTTCATGCCATTTTATTTGCAGATTATTGTTGTTGCAATTTCCAATCGTCCCTTTAATAGTTATACCATTTTTTTTTAAATAACTTTAATTTAAGTTAGTCATCGATTACAATGTACTTTTCTCCTAGTTCCACTAGTTTTTAATTAAAGAAGTCAAGCTTTGTTAGAATTAGTCCAACAGAGGTCGTTCAAAGCTATTGATTCTCTTAATTGACATCAGTGCATGTTGCTACTAACACCATTTTTAACATTGCTTAATATTGCAAAGCTATTTGTGAACATAAGTTGAATTGGATTATATCCTATAAAAGTGAGATAACTTTAGTTTACAAAGAAATAAAGTGGTTAAAATTTAATGTCCGTGACACGATGGTATATTTTTAAGTAACTGAAATCAGATATAGAAGGTCACGCCACATGTGAATTGACCTTGTTTTATCTTTGGTGTTTCTTCTTTTACAGGACAGATCAGTAAATGAAAATGTAGAAAACTGTCTCGTGAGATATATGCTTTACATTTGATTTGTAGTATGAACAAACTGATAAGGATCATGGTCTTCTGAGGCTCCTGTAATGTGTCGGAGATAATTTTTTTATTGTTTTCTTTGATGTAACATATATCATAAAGTATTTATTTGATGCCATTTTGATTACACCAAATATTCTAAATCAATGTACACAAATGTTTATTTTGCATGGTAAATGGAAGACTGTTGTATAATTATATCAGGGTTGAAAAAAAAGCAAAACTATACGTATAACGAATATATCAAATAAAACACAATTCTACACGAAACACATTTTGTTCAGATTAGATTTATGGAACAAATTAGAAATTAATGTTACAACTAATTTGTGCACATTACTTTTGCATGCAGACAGACTATAAGAAACAAATTGGTTCAATTTGATACCAGACAGAGATGCATACAGATATATTAAACTAATTATCAACGTAATTACCATTATAACCATGTAAATTGCAGTATAATTTTAATGTTAAAGTTGACAATCTAAGTAAGGTAAAACATGATAAAACACCTTTTATTGCATTTTTATTCTGGTTATACCATAAGTTTATTTAAAACTATCTTAAACTATCTATTTGCCAGGCGGTCATATCAAGATGAATAAAAAAGGCTGAATTTGAAAACTATTCAATTAGCATCTATTGAGAGTAACACTTGTTATCAGATGTTTAATAAAGTTTTATGTTACACCGTATTCATTATTATCTATATGTAAAGGAATATTTATTCTTTTTACGGTTAGTTTTATGATTATAAGCATATTTGGAAGTAGATATTGAAGAAAAGTTGAGTCCAAACAAACACAAATGCGCCACGACAAGTTACTTAATGTCAAGGCCAAGACCAAAATTAAATACTGTCTGGTGAGGTAGAGATTTAAGAAAGACGTAACGTATATTATAGCGATAATGAAATCTGACGAAAAAAATATCTCCGGATATTCTAAAGGACTGCCAATGAAATTTTGAAAACAAAGTTTATTTTTCTTAAATATTCCAGAAACAAATTCATCTTTTCAATGTCATTAAAGAAAAGGTAATGGAAATTTATCTGATTAAACGAAACAAAATTTGTTGTTGAATGTTTTTGTTTTTATTCAAAATTCAGCAAATTTTGACATAAAGAATATCAAATGTTTCCTAAAAACTGATAATGCTAAAAATAATGAAAGTCATTTCCAATAAAAAAATACTTCTGACTTTTTTATAACAAAATAGTTGAAAAGGGAAATATCTAACTTGATAGTTGTCAATTTATTCCATTTCGAAATACACACAGGCGAGAATATAATATTACAACTTGCATGCGTAATAAACTTCTGTTTGTTATGCAAAATTACAAATTCAGTTACTTCTAAAACTCAACTACACTTTATTTGTTTTGTTTGGTGTTTAATTTCAGCTAATTAAATTGAGGCTGTTTCTTAAATAGATTTCAAATAATGTATAAAGCTTATCTATTTGTATAATTGATATTCCAACAGCTATTCCGTGTATTTTTGAAATTGTCTATAGATTTCAAGTTCTGATTATATATTGACACTATCTGAATACAAATAAGTATCTATTTACTCTAGCAGTCAACAACAGCAAGTGAAATGAAAAAAATGTATCCTTTTACACCTTGATTAAGGTTCATTAGGTTCAAAACACAGACGTGATGTATTATCAGAAACGTAATCTTTAGAAAAAAATAACACGAAGTCTGTGTCGAAGATTATGATATATCAGCACATTCTAGTGAACGGTATCATAAACTTTAAGGTTCAATTTGATATTATTCTTGAAATTAATATAATTGTATATTATGTATGTGTCTTGCATCATTAAGTTATATTTACAATATAATTGTTCATTTCAAGATGCATACCAGTTTTAAATGTAATATAGCTTTCTTGGATCTCTTTAATTTTTTTTAATTTACAAGCAAGTTTAAATGAAGTTTTTTTTTCCTTGATATTTAAACTATATTTAAGGTATTTTTCATCGCTCGTGTGAATATGTGTTGACAAATGTCATGTCTATATTTTGATTTGAATTGAAAATACTTGGTTGAATACAATTTAAGCTACATATTTTTGTATTTTTTAAAAATAAAATTCTGTCTGTCTGCAAATTGATCACTATTTATCTGTAACTCAATGTTTTAAACGCTATGTATTAAGTGTCCTCACATACATAAATCATCACTATAAGAGGCTTCCATGACTTCAAACCACATGCTTTTAAAACCCTGAACAGTGATATTGGATTATTTCTTATAAGGAGCTAGCTTACAGAAAGTCGTTGATTCTATTCATGTACCCGTTCGTGCATGAATTACTAAGATGTGTTATAAGGATTAGAAAAGTCCAATTGCTAGAAGCTGATTTCAGAGTTAAAGTCCGACATACCTATTCAGCAATGCTTTAACATTCTACTTCATTGTTACATATAAATACCTAAAGAACACGAATTTATCATGTCTCGAATATGTCAAAAATCACCTTTTTGAAACATCTTTTTTTAAGAATTCTAAAATGATCAACAGTATAGAACCGAGGGGCTCCTAAGCTTTTCCTACACAAATAAAGCTGGAAAGTCGCCTTATAACCTCAAATGCTTTTGTGTTTGTGCGACGTAAAACCCAACCAAAACAATCAATATAATCGAACAAGAAACCAACGTTGTTAATGGAATATTAAATGTTTTGCTAACGTTGAAAATATTTAAGTAATGGAAGGAATAAATAATCCAGGTTATAAAATATATGTCAATCACTGGTTTATTAAACAATGATTCGTCCTTTTTCTTTGAAAGATTTGGATCTAAAAAAGATCTAAGAGAATAAATAGGCTATTAACACACGTTATCGTGTAGTTATTTATAGCTCGGAAGAAAAAAGCTTTCCATATCATGACTAGCATTATAATATATAATCCATTTATCTCAGAGACTTGATTCAAGGTGTTCCTATCAGGAGCAATGACCGAGCATCGTTTCAAGGAAGCTTATTTTCCCAACTAATTTCCATAAAATACAGACTGAAGTATACTGTTTTCGTTACGCTAAATATTGTTATTTCTCAAATCAAACATGAACTCGTTTTTTTTGTGTGTGTGTGCAAACATGGTTGTGTTTTTGTTTGTTCACTTTTCATTTTAGTTCAGAACTAAAAATGTTCACATCGAAAAAAAGTTTTAAGCAGTGTACTGCAGATTCTATAGGGTTTGTGTCATCATCATCTTCAGTAGTCGCCTTGCTCTTCATAGAGCATAATCGCGATGAAAAACTATGTACATGCGCAGCATATGGTTCCTCTTTTGTCACGTGAACGATTATTGCGCTCTCTTGAATACTCTATCATTTTGTTCATATCATATTTGCTATATTAGCCACAGATATAAAGTCAGTTTTACCATAATATTATGTGATGAGTTAATAGCAAAACTGTGTCATGAAATGTTTCATGAATTTTGATGAATTTTTCGTATTATCTTAAATCAGATTGACATTATAACAATACAGGTATAATTTAATATTCTTTCTAGGACAGTGTTTAACAAATATAAGGAATACTTAAAGCTTATTAAAATTGAGTGTTTATTCATACGGGAATATTCAAAACAAATTTTCTAACACTTTCGTTAAATATCATACTATGTGTATCACAATTTTTTGTAACATGTTTGCTGGATTGAATCATAGACTTAGGTAGTATTTCATTTATCACTTTAACTTTACTTTCTTTCTCAATTGATATAAGTTCAAAGACATTATCTACAGAAAACAAATGAATCTTAATCATATCTAGTACAACACAGAAAAAAATGATACAATACGTTTTACAATTTTTATTAGTTATGCCTTTATTTTATAATGTAAAGGAATATATATTACGATATAAATAACATAAAAGCAAGTATGTACTAACAGTACTAACATAGATTTATTGCATTTTAGTTCAATTTGAATGTATATTTCAACTAGAATACTGTTACAGTAATAAACTATTAAACATGAACCTAGGCTATTTAATAAAATCTAAAACATATGTTGAATTTTAATGCTATAAACAAAGTTTCGATTTTTTCATAGCATTTTAGATGTGTATGTAGAAATATTTATTGTGCAATTTTTACTTGCGCAACAGCTCCATAAAAGCAATGTTAAACAATCTTTTAAGTATTTTTTTTTTCAAACTTCACTATTGTTTAAAAATTGAAGGCGAAATTAAACTAAGGCAGCATCATTTTCAATTGTGCCGTTTTGGCGTTCTTTAGGGATTGCGCTTTATTCAACATCATTTAATTTAATTCATATTTTAGGCAAAAAGATGTATTTCTGCATATTCTGACAAGTTACAGGCAATTTCTATGGATATGTAATGCCTTAGCCTAGCTTAAAATCGCCGAATCTGAACACGTTGCAACAATTAGGTTAATAATAAAGCTTTTCAAGTTCAAAACTCTTCAAATCAAAAATAACACAGATCTTGAGGTGTGCTGCTCGGAACAATAAGAAGATTTTCAATGAGCATTTGATTCATCTGTAATTTCATATAACACGACTTCCTGTTCGTCTGTTTGATATTCCAAACTGTTTCTGTAACCATAGCCAAAGTATAGTAGAAGACCTGAAAATAATAACAAGTAGTACAGTTTATGTAATGAAAAGGACAAAATCCAGAAACCTTAAAGCGACATAATGCATTTTCTTTCAATGCCAAGGTGAAATGATTCGATATATCTCAAAAGACCAAGTGTTAAAATGGTGATTACTGATAATGTATTAGGATAAAATATAAATTTGCCTGCCTAATACAAAATATTGCTGCTCCGCTCCTTTTCTTTGTACATTGTATATTGAACGTTACACACAGGTACATTCCGATGAATTTTTACAGACATTTCTTTCGGTAACGTGATTAATTTAACCTTCATGCAAGGAAAATCATCAAATTGAAGGAATTAACGCAATATGTAAACCACCTTTTTTGACTTTCACCCTTTCACTCATTATATATTCTTAGACGGTCATTATTTCAATTTAAAAATGCTAAAGACGGAACAGCTGAAACTAATACAGGTTCGGTTTTATTGATATTGTTCAGACACGGTAGTTTAAGTGGAATTTACCTAATTTTCCTATCTACTTAATCACCTTTTTGAGTTAAAACACAATAATTTATAACTATCTTAAACACAACAATTCTCAACTGTCTAAAACAAAAATAACGCTATCAATAATGTATGAAAACGGTTCTATATATTTTTTACTATAATATAAAAACGAAAGAGAATTTATTCCGATACAATTTAACAGTTTGAAAGTAACTGTACCACAAAAAAGAGAGTAAAAGTAGACATATAAAGGGACTTGAATGAGTTTTTTTGTAAAGAAGGGACTGGAAATATTTTTTCGAGATTAATGTAGCATTTAATTAAGATGTAGACAAATATCTTGTGTGCAAAATTTCAAATCGTTCTCTCTCTCTATTTGTCAAAAATAACGACCATTCTTATTGTGAAAAATGATCCAAAATTGGAAAAAGTTACACCGCTTTTCACTCAAAATGGATTAAGATAAATAAATACAGTTATTCAGTTATTTCTGAATATATTTCTTAATCATCATATGCATATATTTCTATATAAGAAATTCAAACTTTATGTTTTTAGGCTTTTGGACACTAATGGAGTTCCATTAATTACAGGTTTGTATGCTAAGCACACATTAACTTACTTTTTAAATTTGGTATTATTTCGAAGTCCTCTTAAAAATTCACGCTGTTAGAAAGGATAACGTTGTGTGATTAATTTATTTTTACTCCCGTTCCCATTCCGTAATTCTTTAAGAGACTGTTTTAAACGGTAATTAACTAATTCAAAATAACAGATGTCGACAAACTGTAATTAAAGGCCAGACGAAAATGCCTTCCCTCAATTTTCTCAATGGGATATTGCATTTAACCTCTCAAGTTCACTTAAAGTAGTTGCAATTACCGTGAAGATAAATATTTTGAAAACTGTTCTCCGTGTAACAGCCCTTGACATAAATGACAGACCTCGTCGTTTTTAACAGATAAAACTATTTCCAGACGACATGTTCATTAACATTTAACACCATTTTAGAATTATCTGTGTCTGTCTGACAAATCGAAGGCGTTTCATTTCCTTTGATCAGAAGGCCAGCACTTTTGAACAAAGTCATATTTATTCTATGTAAGATGTTACACAGTCAGTGGCAATATTTAAAAGGTGTTTTGCACTGTTATAAAATTACGTATGTAATATTTAATAATTTGCTAAGATATCCAAACATATTTCGGTTTTAAACTCTTTTCTCTTTAAATATATATTGTAAATATTAATTCAGGGGTAAATTCTAGTAGATCTAGGACAATATGAAGTTGGAAAAGATATATTAACATGTATATACGGATTTCAATTAATCACGAACTGTTGATTCAGTACAGTTTTCATTTAACTTTCACTGCTGATTCAGAAATAATGTGAGATTTGTTAAAGGCCACTCGCAAATAAAATGATACATCATCAGGTATATGGACAGACTTCAAAGATATGTAAAACGTTAAATTTTAAGATTTTAAACAAACAAAACAGTAAGATACCCACCTAAGGCCATCCACAGTAAAAAGCGAATCCAGCACATGAACGACAGAGATGCCAGGAGGAAAACGTTGATCAGTATTGCTAACAATGGTATGAATGGGACATATGGTGTCCGAAAATACAGTTTTGTCCGATTTTCTGGTTGCCGTACAATTAAAACAGTCGCTGAGATAAGTAAAATACTAAACACAAATATAATGAGCAACATCCACCAGCTGTCCAAATGCAAGAGGAACTCGGCATACAATGTTATGATACTGAGTACACAAGAACACGTGATGTATATTAACAATCCTATCGCAGCAGTTTTCCATGTTGATTCAGTTGGTTCAAGAACTATATCTGATGGCAAACGAAGTAATCCACTAACATTTCCATTAGATGTACTACTTACGACACTGTCTAGTCTCGTATAAGTGCTATCACGTGGGCTTTGATAATAGTTTGTTTGCTCTGACATTCTGTCAAGTCTATATTTATCATCAAACGAGACACTCTTTCGTATTAATGCTGATGCGCCCGTTGAGTAACCATTGGTATGTTTTGGAATTTTATCACAGCCTCGAAACCTTTCCTCCGCTGAAACATTTGATTTATTTGCATCTAATTGTAAATGAGAGTAATTGAAATCCGTACATTGCATGAAGTTAATATCATCGGGATCCTCATATTCTACATAAAGGCCAACTGTGCCCGGCTGATACCTAACACATATCACAGATACTGCTAACACTGAGTAGGACAATAAAGTCCCTATAGACACTACTTGTAAAAGTATTTCAAACTCAAGAACTAAAGAAATAATTGCTGATACAAGGCCTAATAATATTACGCTGTACACCGGAATATTCCATTTGCTCGACACTCTTGACAAGCATTTCAATATTAATCGGTCATTTGATATTGAATACACCTGTCGTGTCAAATAAAATAAACTCCCAATCAAAGACGCAAGTAATCCAATTAGTCCACCAACAGCAATTACAGAGCTAGCGCCATGAATATGCAAATTGCTTAGCACGTGAGGAAGAGCAATCAATGAGTCTTCAGGAAAATGGTGTAAGGATAAGGTTGCAGAAGTTGAAATGCAGAAATAAACAATCGAGCATATAAATATTGAGTATGTTATCGCAGACGAAGTTACTCGCGTTGGTTCTTTCGCCTCTTCGCTCGCTGATGTAATAGCCTCAATGTTTGTAAAGGTGAAAATCAATGTTGAGGCACCACTTAGCACCTGAAATACACACAAAACAATTAAAACAACATACTATGACGTTCCATTAACTTTAAAATACGAATTGTGATACTTCAGATACGATGAAGCAAACTGTTTTGTAGCACAATATCAATGCACCACATGCAAATGCTGTATCACAGAAAATTTGTATATACTTATATATATTTAAATGTTGTCAATTTCGCAAAACATAGCTTATATTTTGTAAAACGCCTTTCGAATACTCATATGCTTTCGTTTGTTTATTTCATTAGTAAATTAACGTACATAGTGTACAATAAATACATGTCTTGTATAAAGGCATCTCATATCTTATAGCAAGTACTTGTTTTTTCATACGAAATTTCGCGCTATAGCAACACAAGTGTTAATGAAATGTACACGAATAATGTATTCGTGCAGTTACAGAATCATGTTTTTTTCTACAAAATTTAAGGAAGTACTTAACATTTTTATACTATTGTATAATAAACATAATATAAGTTGACAAAAAGGCAATCTATATACATAACACAAACTATCAAACTATGCGGATACACCTTTTTTATATGTACATAAACATGTATTTAAAGAAATTGTTATAATACTACCATTATATATCAAATATTTTATACCATAATACCATTATTAACTACAAACATGGCCGTTATAGTCCTAGCACAATAGATGCAGGTACAGCGTTATGAAGTAGCTTAAGGCACAAGAGGCGGACACCTTAGTTGAACCACCGACATTTCTTAAGCTAGCTGGATGGCCTCCTCACAATGCGTAACCTAAACACCCTGGCGGGACTCGCTTCCAAAGTGGTGTAAGCCAATTGATTTGGAATCAGCTACCTTAACCACGGAAGCCGGTATAACACGTCTAAACTAAACATTGTAGAAGATGGTATGAGTGGTTAAAGTAGATTAAAGTAACATGACCGTTCTACTTACACCTGTGAAACCATGGGCAAAGAAACCAGGAGGTTCTGTCCAGTTGTCGTGTTTGACATGGAAATAGCCGATACAAACAAAACACATCACTATCAGAATATTAAAGAACGTCAGCACCATCAATAAAACCGTTGATAGCTAAAACAAAGTTTATATTCATAAATTTATATTGAATTTTTAAACATACATATTCATAGAATTGCTAAAAATGTTATAAAGCAAGATTCTAAAATGGTTTATTTCGTTTTTAGGATTTGACAAATCAAAAATATGTCTTATGTTTTTGAACATGAAAGTGTTTTATTTTTCTTTCTTAGACGACTAGTCAAAATTGTCCAACTGCGAGACTGAATTTAAATTTGTGAATACAACAAAAATTATAACAACAATTTACTTTAATTCTATGATTTTGATTTTGGTATCTACTTTACTTATTTGTAGATCTTCCTTTACTACACACTTGAATCGTTTAGATCATATTACGCCATATTGTTAGAAAAACAACAAGAACAAACAAAAAAACAAACAAACAAAAATACACCGCACAATTATGTGGTAGTGCGTGTTATATAAATAAATGAATATAATAAATTGCTTTTATATTCCATTGACCAATTAAAAGAAACAGCTTTTAATATCTATTTGTCGTACACAATAAAACAGATGATTAAGATACATCACATTATATTAAAAAAATCTTAGTAATAGAACACATTTGTTTTGGGTTTTATGTGGCTCTTCTTCAAAATTGATTAGCACACTATAATAAAAAACATATTCTACAACTCACCCTTGCCTTCATTGCGACTATCAACGTTATTACTAAAATAATAAGGAATGCAACAATATCTGGAGATTCTCCCCATACTTCACCTCCGTTCCATGACATATTTTCATCTATAACACTGAAATAATTAAGAACCATACTAATACAAATAGTAACCCTATATCTCATTCATATTAAATAAAACAAATCCGTTGTATGTTAAAAAGTAAATATCAGTTTTTAGTGCTTTGTTGTAGTTGATAATTGCGCGGTTCGAGTTCAGATGCGCTACATTCGATGCATGTGAACATTACATCATTCGTTATATTTGTATCGAGAAAAATATTAATATTTATTCCGATTCAGTTTGTTGTTTATAATACAATGGTATGTATGAAATATAAGAAAAGTATGAAAAGTACGTATTTTATTTAACATATTATTAATTTTGACATGCTAATTTATAATTTTCTTTTTTTATCACAAAGCAAAAATATATAAGGAAAATATTAGTTGGTTACGCATACACTTCAATAAAAAAACACACATATACAATGCACGATGTACTGTACCTCTTTATTGTTCCATTTAGCATGTAATCTAAGTACTGACTCCAAGCTTTCGCTGCAATGCATGTTGTTATAATATGCTCTAGTATCATATTCCAGCCAATCACAAAGCCACAAAATTCACCAAGTGTTACATATGTATAGTAATATGACGAGCCGGCCCTTGGTAATCTCGCACTAAATTCTGCATAGCATAACCCTTAAATATAGACAAATTTACATATATGTACCGTTTGTCATTATTGATAACTTTTAGCATTAGGTACAAGCATAAACAATGATAAAGTAATAAAAGCATAGTAATGTTACTCATAACCATCGACATAGCAAATAGGTCAATCAGGTTTCAATTAATCTTTAAATGAAATGGTAAATTATTCCTTGAAGTTTGAATCGTTTAGTAAGAAATTTTAAATGAAAACCAGTGTTAAAGTAAAATGTGGCATATTTTTAATAATTACCTGTGAAAAATAGTCATATACACGTATTTCAATTTTTTTATTTATAGAACCAAACATTGCTCTGTTTATGATGAAGCATGTATTACGGGTACTTTATGCCTCAGAAGTAATTATTATTGTTTTAAATGAAAGCAAAGGCGAATCCGATTTAATAATCGACATAATGCACATTAGTTTCTTTTGACGAGAAGAAGGGAACGTGTGAACATATAGATTTAAGTCATCAAGCAAAAGATAGTTCGGTAATGTGACTATTGAGCATCTCTTGCGAACCTTTAAAAGATAACATATCTAATAAGCCCTTAAACTTATAAATAAGCTCTTGAAAAGTCTATTTTGAATCAATTACCTGCAAACAAAGTTGCCAATCCAGCGATGATCACGGAAATAACAAACGACGGACCTGCATCTTTGCTTATAGCGTATGACGTCATGATATAAACACCTACTCCCAATGATGACCCAATTCCTGTAAACACATAATACGAAAAAACTGAATTACTTATGAACATTGTCGTCAGTATTATGTCAAATGTTATCACATGTTCTGAAATGCCAAAATTTGATCTGGGTATATGGAGTACCATACTTTATTCTCTAATTAGTGGCTTCTGATACTTCCAATTTCATTGAAATCAACTCTGTAATGATCTAAAGACAACACTTTTATTTCCCCTTAATTTTAAATCTGTGTACGCATTTAGTCATTATCCTTGTAATACAAGAATTACCTATCAATATAATTGAAAGAATTTAAATATCTTCCGTAAGTACAATGGAAAAAATGTAATTCCTAACAAAGGCCCAAACGGCAAGATTGAAACTGTTGCAGGCTTGGTTATATTGATCCTGTTCAGTACAGTAGTGGAAAAAGACATTAATAAATGATCATAGTGCAATCTTGAATTGTTCAATTATCGCCGATGCATTTATGCGGCAGTTATCAATATGTCACTTTCGTGGAAAAGTGGCAAATCATTTACTAAAAAAATAAATGCGTATGTCCTAAACGAGAATAATTTAACTGGTAAGTCAATTAAAATTATTCAATGAAATAAAGCATAGTTTTTGTTAGGAAACGATGAGTATCCATTTTATCAATACAATAACTATTTTCCTTCCTTACCACTTAAGGTATCACCAATTAGGAAAGTCTATGGATATCTTCAATTTTGATTTCTGGGATAAACAAGCCCTCATGGGGATACTGTGATGTATCTGTATTAAGTGTGTATCGTTTTGTTTGATGTATTATTTATACGTTTCCTACTCTTCCGGACGGGTGATGCCATTTTGAGCAGATCTATTAATTATTAATTTATGCATCTTTTATTAACAATAGGAACGTGTGAAATTGTTGTAATGCAGCACAATTGATTGAAATATACGCCGGTAAGTATTAAAGAAAATACATGTATAGTATATATCAATGTCGAAGATCATTGTTTGAGATACAATTACACTGATTGATGTAATCAAATAATTCGACACGCAATTATGCGTAATTGCTGTGCGTAAGTATTGCATGTAGACGGACTATAAAAAAGAAACCTAGTACAAATCAATAGCAGACTCCAGATATACAGGAAACGTTCAATCAATTGAATTACCAAATCACCGTAAGACCGATATCTTTTGATAATGTTAAATCGTAGCACTGAATGCCTTAGATCGCTATATCTGAAAAAGGAGTGATCATATATCAATGTGCTTGACCTTTGGTGTTTATTGTTTGCTAGCTGCGCAAAGGTTCTTTTGATTTGTTTTTAAAAAAACATGCCTTCTCGTTTTTTATGCCTAAATTTATTAAATTATAACATTTCATAATTTGAATAATTGTATCGAAATGTATTATTATACTGTATTTACCCCTGTCCACTATAAGAGTTAATTTGTGCATTAAAATCCACAAGTTAAAATAGGAAAAAAAACCGAATCACTGAAGAGAGCCAAACACGGCAAAATTGAAAATGTTGCAGGCTCGGTTTGATTAAGTATGTTCATGGACGGTACTGGAAAGTGCATTTTACCGCCCACGCCCCTTAGCACCGACTAGGGGTGTTGGGGCTAGTTAAAACACACCCTGCAGCTGCAAAATTTGTGTAATAGAATTGGCTATTTTTCATTTTTTCATTTACTTATTTAATCATTTTCAAAATTAAAATTTTAGCTGGTCAGTCACAGAAAGCCTTAAACTCTGATAAACCTAAAATCTCGAGACTACGAAATAAAGAATTTTAACACTAGTTGACAGGCGTGGCAAAAATAGCGCAGCCTCTTGGTGATCTGAGCTGATAAACGAAATTACCTAGACCAATTAAATCTAATAGTCCAAGACATCTTTTAAGTTTTGAATCATGTAGATTTGAGGTGATGACTGTCTTCTTTCTCCAAAGATTGCTGCAAATACTACTTATAGTCATGTCCTGAAAAGAGACATTTTAAACATTAACAGAGACAAAAGTTGAAAAAAAAATATTTATATTAACAAAACCAAATTAAAATACACAAAAATATATCATTTCACTTTGGTGGGCATTGCGAGTGAGTAATAGTTATAACGTGGATCTAATAAAATTTTTACTTAACGAGAAACACTTTGAAATCGTTTGAAGTTTCTCCTCAAACTGAATTTTACAGAAATTTTGAGCAAAAAAAGTTACGAAATTTATAAATTAATATTCTGTACAATAAGGTAAGTAAATTATTTATTCAAAGTCAGGAAACTAAATACATAAGTTCGTACGACTGTAAATTTATTTATCTTCAGAAGAAAGGTCGGGTAGCAGTATTGTTTTATCGTAAATGATATATTGATTAACGAAATGTTTAGATGCACTTGGTTTGAAAAAAAAAATTGACCTCGTTAACGTTGATTTTAGTTTGTACCTGCGACGTCTGATTAAAAACAGGATATAAATTATATGATCCAGGAAAGCTTTTGAATTTATTTGATCATGCATGAACAATTACCGGGAAAAAGGAGACAAATCACACGGTATCGTAGCAAAATTGCATCAGAAATCGACAAGACTTTGACGCGTATTAGAAGCAGAACACACATGTTCAAAGAACTGTCGAACATTAAAAAGAAATTCCCATCAGTTATTTTTTCAAACAGAGTCAAAATGAATAACAACTTAAAAATGCATTGTCTTTCACTATGATCGTGCCATTTTTTTGTGTAGAACGAAACTGCTAAATGCGAGTAGAAACGGCAAGTAATCACAATCGTGAGGATGAATATCGACACGTTGTTATGTCGTTTGCCATGATAGAAAAATGAATATTTTGTATAAAATCATATAAACAGAGCATCGCATTAATTAAAAGGCTCTCCTTCAACAACTCAAGAGGATGGATATTTTAGAGAAAAACTCGTATAACTGTTAAGCTTTAAAGTTGATAAAAACATTGTGCAATGACAACATTTTTATTTTTCTCTGGTGTTTTCGTCTTCCAGATAAATAAGACAAATGATGTAAAAAATATACTGCTGCTGCAACCTCAAATTTTCAACTTTTAGGACTTGTCGTGGGTCATGGAAAACAAATTCGCTATTTCAAATTTTGAGAGTACTTACGTTAAACAGTTATTGTATTGTTGAAACAGTAACCATATTATTATATATGTAACATATACACAACAGGTACTATTTTCCTAACACAAATATTTTAAATCATTTCGTCGTTCGAATGCATAATGAACCATCCATAACTATGTGTAAATTGTTATGCTTCATCTTCTTATTAATGTAAGAAAAACAACTTATCAACTCAATAGTGCTTTCTAATAGTAACAAATTAATGGTATAAAGCAATCCAATCATGTTGCGGAATTTTATAGATGTAATAATCACTTTTATACTGTTACAACTTATCGGCAATAGACAGAAAACCTATCAATTCCTAATTATATATTTCTTTTTTATTGTCTACTGTAATGACATTGCTTTTATTGTCTATTTATTTTGTTTTGTATTATTGTTCATGATATTGTATCATATACACATAGTTTCGTTACTTACTGAGACCATTAAGAAATACTTTGGATGTGGATTATTCAATATTTTACAAGTACATGTGTGTGTGTGTGGGGGGGGGGGGGCGTGCGGACGGTAGGTTGTTCTTTCCAGTACCGTCCATTAAAGGGACTCCACTATGGTTTTTTTGACATGATAGGACTGAAAATGTTTTTTTCCAGATAAAGGTACATGTACCATTTGATGTAGGTTTAGACCACTAAACCTTGAGCAAAATTTCAGATCATCCGCGCACTTCGTTTTTTTTCCAAAACAATTATTCAAATTGTAAAAAATGACCAAAAATAAAAAGCTTTTAAACGCTTTTTACTCAAATCGGGCTAAAAAAAGCATAAAAATACTATTTTTAATTTATTTCAAAGTATGTTCCTTAACTACCTTTGCATACATTTCTGTTTAAAGTGCCCAAGCTTATTTATGAAAGAAATTCAAATGTTATGTTTTTAGGCTGTTAAACCTTAGTGGAGTCCCTTTAACAGGCTCAATTAAATCAAGTCTGTAACAGTTTTTAATTGTGCGCGTTCTTTAATGATTAAATTGTGTTATCTTTAGTTTTTTCTTTATTTTTATTTTAACATTTCTTATAAAATGCATACAATATAATTTCAGCTCAAGCATTGTGAATGCCAAAAACAATCCATCTGGCTGCATATGAATAGTTATCTATTTCTATTTAAATAGTAAACTCAAAGTGTAAGTAATATTATTACGTTTAACATATTCGCAAACAAATAAAGTAAACATTAATAATAATGATAATATCATAAGCTATATTTCTTAATGCTTTATTATCTGTAAGAAATATTTTTCTTGTAATTGCGTTTTCACAATCATAGGAATAATTTATACAAGTTTGCCTTCAAATAAAATTACCTTGAATGACAGAATAATCCACTTCAAATTAAAATGTCATTTTAATAAACGCTATAAGTTACTGCACAGACAGCATAATACGAACGAAGAAGCCGTTTCACATTTTTATAGCCTTATCAAAGTATATCAAATCCATTCGCTACAACTCTAGTTTATAAAATGCTCAATTTACTACTTCTTAGCAACTTTTTCCAATAAAGCTCTCCAATATAATGGTGTTTGCCTTGCCCTTGAAATAAGCCTTCAAGACCATGGGTACGATATTGGATAAAATTCCAATATGTGGCTGTGTCGAGGAGCAAAGAAGGAGGGAAAACAGGCACTACAAAGAAGATGAGTGTTTATTTACGTTCATCATTTTACCAGAATTAGCTGTTACAACTTTATTATCATTTGTGCTTTGCTTGCTATTTAAACAATAAACTGAGCAACATTTTTAGGTACTTAAGTAGCAAATAAAAAGAAGCTATTATAATATTCAAAATAATAAAAATCGACGATGCGTTTTTCAAAGGTCACTATTACATTGACATATAATTATGTCAAAGAGAACATTTTAGAAATTTGGTGCCAGTTTAAAATTATTTCTGTGAAAATTTATTATTCATAGAAATGTTGAACCTTTCAAATCACAGGTTTAACGTTAAATATTTCAACTTTCTGTCCTATTATTAACCAGTTAATTACAGTGTGTAAAATAGAAAATAGAAACGCGTATGGTCGGGTCGAATAGCACTATTTAATTTATAATCTCGATGCAGTTAACGCTGCGCACAAACACCTATTTAACTTTTTTATGAAATATTTTAATAACAACATCACATAAACAGCTCATAGTGCGAGAAGTACAACTAACTTAAATAGAATAACAAATTGATGCCACATTTATTCCATTAAACGAATGCTTGTACTTTACAATACCCACTTATTTGTTTCCCAGCAAATCCAAGATATAAAATCATCAATTTAAGTGTTTTATTATAACATCCATTAGTCAAAGTGCCTATTACTGAATGTAACAGTATTACCAAGCGCAAACTAAAATAGCCCGTTGATACAATAAAATCGCACAGGCGTTAAAGGTAAAAATAACAATTCTGTGTAGCAACTGTGTATTCAAGAATGCTTTTTAAGAATGATCTATGTTCTGAAAAAAAAATTAAGATTTTTTTTAAAGTTTTGGGAGAAACAAAGTCAAAGTCAAGAAACATTTATTTCTTTCATTCCATGTACACGTATGACATAATGAGGTGACAAACATGAATAAAAGTACAATGAGGCTCAAATAGCAGTTAATCAACATAATAGTGAAGGGAAAAATATAATGGTAAATAATTTGATGATACATGATAGATTTGTATACTTTCAAATTTCAAGTACGTGGAGAGCCAAAACTATTTTATATATTGCTAAAACATAAAAACTAATAGAGTAAGCTGATCTTACATTCAAAGGTAGTGTTTTTTTTTCGTTTTTTTTTTCTTTCTTTATTTGTACTTCACCAATATGATTCGATTGTATTAAAAAATTGACAAGAAACATGCGTGTATGCTTTTTTGACTTTAGGGAAAAAAAACAAAGCGATACGGTACACACTGTTAAAGGTCTTAACATTTTTGACCTTTTTAATCATTTCTAAACGATTAAACTAGAAAATCATTTTTCTCATTTTGAAATCATTTTAATTCTTTTTATCATTGTGCTTCTAATTTGCCTTCTTGAAAACCGCCATTGGCGTCTTGGTGTAAAGCTTTTTGTAATGTCTATTGTGTAAACCATTAATGTCCCTTGATGACTAAAATTTTTCCAACTATTTTGAGATCTTCATTTACTGAACGCATTCCAAATATCACCTATTGAAATAGTTACTATTAAACAAATTATAAATGATCTTTTAATAAACTAATCTCTAATGTATGCTGGAACTAGAGACAAATCCAGGCAATAAGATAGGGAAAAAAGCACTCGCTAAAGAACAGGGAAAACATTAATTCTTTAATCACTTTTTATGATAAAGCTGTGATCAGAGAATAAATACAAAACAAAAACAGGAGATAAATGCACTCGCTACAGAACAGGGAAAACATTAATTCTTTAATCTCAACTTATCACTTTTTATGACAAAGCTGTAATCAGAGAATAAATACAAAACAAAAACAGGAGATAAATGCACTCACTACAGAACAGGGAAAACATTAATTCTTTAATCTCAACTTATCACTTTTTATGACAAAGCTGTAATCAGAGAAAAAATACAAAACAAAATAAGACAGAAAATAAATGCACTCACTACAAAACAGGGAAAACACTAATTATCTAATCTCAACTAATCATTTATTTTATGATAAAAATGTAATCAGAGAATAAGTCCAAAAATATCAACACCTTTTGCTCAAATAGATTATAGTATCTCCTTAAGGGAAGAATTATTAGCCATTATTATACAAACAAGAACATAAAGCTTCTCATTCACTCACAAATACCTTCTGAAATAAATATCAAGGCACAGAAACCCATCTTATTTTGTAAAATAGCTTCTTTTATTGACACAATTATCACTGTTAATGATTACATAACAAAGTTATCGTCAGTAGAGAAAAAAACCTATTAATTTCGTCTTACGGTATATCTTACGGTTAATCGTCTACCGAAATATTGGCTGTGATATCAGGGAATTTCTTGAGCTTGAAATAATTATAAAGACTATTTACTAGGTTATTTGGTCATTTCGATTACCTAAAGCAATGATGAATATCTCAATTGATGTAACAAAAGAATGTTATTGTAAGAACTTGCTTTCCGAAACAAGTAAATATCTCTATTTACGAACTGATTACGAGCGTATTTGAACATATACACAAACAAACAAATATTGTAGGCATGGTGTTGGGATCCTTTAAAAGTCATTTTTTTAAATTCTCAAACTAGACAAGTCATTATTTATAAATTGATTCGTTAAAATGTAAACAATATTCATAGTACATCTTTAGCGTAACATAATACTAGGCTCAATGTGAATTTAAAATGTTAAAAGTTTCATGATATTTTTTTTCTACTTTTTAAAATTACACATTCAGATGCATTTCTGGTTGTCTACTAGTTCAGTTTTGATATTAGCTGTTTTGCCTATGGACACTGATGCATCAAGGATAAATAGTTGACAGAGCAGTAACAAGGCACAAACCATTAAGACATAAAGTTTGCGTTGGTTTGTAAAGAGGAATACACATATTGATTAAATCAAAGATATAAAAACAGAAAAATTGACTTCCGTAATACTCAACATTTAATCATGGAGAATTTGAAATGTGGGACACAGACTATGTGTAAACGGCGTTGATCACAAAACTGTAAATGTGCAAAAATCGTGCAATTCCGACAAAAACTGCGTCTGGTCTAAAGTTGGATAACATATATGTTGTAAACGATACGAAAATTTTTTGTAGCATGACATTTGCCCTGGTTTTATTTACTTGATGACCCAGCTGGTACACTTCCCAAAGTTTTTCAAAATTAAATTAAAATTGTCATAATCATTTCGTTACTAGAAATTAATGCGACGATAGACAGCGACAATTTGCAATTAATGATTCGTTTTATCTTATACGTTGACTTCGTATTTTACTGTTGAAAATGACAGACACAAGATAATTTTCAGCATACTTCATGATTGAATCCAACCTCTCATATCATTTTTAAATTCATAAAAAACATAAAAAACATAAAAACATTTTCATATTTTCTCGTGTATGCAGCCATATAAATGGACCAAAACAATGCCAACTGACGAGAACAAAATGATATTAAAATGTAAATCAATAAAAAAATATTTCAATTAATCAAAGTTTAAAAGTGCGTGTACATATTTACACGTATATATATTGATGCCTATATGAAGTAATTACTTTTATATTATAACTATCGGTTCTGATTGAATGAAAGTGAATATTAAGTATCTACTCATTTTGTATGATAAAAGATGAAGTCATTATTTATATTTTCAATTGCACTTGTTTTCTGCATAATGATGAAATGATATACGATAACTTGAGTTTTGCGCGTTCATTTTAACTCAACACCAGGGTAAAAAAAGGATTTTTACAAAATATGAAGCGAAATAGTTCAAGTATCTGAAAAAGACCAAGACATTTATATGTTAACTGGGTATATTCACCACGCAGCTGAAGAAGTATCTCATAAAGTGAATCATATATATCAAGTGTTATTGTCATTCACGATATTCATGAGTTAGATTATCACTCTTTTGTAATGTTAATATTCAAGTCTGGGAGACGAGATGGCTCATAATTTTCTTTTTTATTTGACAACATATTACATGTATTACAATAGGTTAAAATGTAAATGCAAATTTTGTCGTTTGGACTTTCTGTAGGGATTCGTTTTTTATATGTTTATTTCCAACATATTCTTGATAACCGCTTCAATAATATGTATAATAAAATAATTGATTTAAATGAAAATAAATAAATAAATAAATTAATGAATGAATGATTGAATGAGTGAATGAATTAAATAATGAATAAATACATAAATAAATAAATAAAACAATGTCATGAATATTGCTTCAATAATAAAATAACTTTATTAATATTTGCCTTTAATAATGTTAACGAGTTGTTCGGAGAGTTCCTATAAATTTCTAATTAAATGCTAGCAGTCAATATTCTTTAAATTTAATATATTTAAATTCCGTTCAACATTTGCTAAAAACTACAGTTTTACCGTGACAACAAATATCCTTGTTACATGTACCAATAACCGGAACACGTTGTTGTGGAAACGTCTGCGTATTTGGGAACAAAGGATATTTCCTTTTTTCTTTACTTTTACTTGAGGTAATTGTAGGTATTTACACATAAAATGTCATCGACACTGATTAACCCATTACTTCATATACACGCCTTTTAACGCCTTTTTCACCCCCCCCCCTTTTTGTTGTCTCAAATGATGAAAAAATGCCTTATTTAGGCCCCAAATACTTGTTTTTGTTTGAGAAATGTTGTTAAAAAAGTGACCTCTTTTTCGGCGCGGCCCCCCAACTAAAAGATACATCAGGGGGTTGCCAGAAGGGGGATGTGCCCCCTTCTGTTTGGGGGGTTTGAAGGGGGGCGGCAGTCCCCCTCATCGCCAAGAAAATTTTGGACTTGTGAGAGGCTGTAAATGACCCCAGATTGATCATGAGGTAACGTGTAACCAACGCTGAAAAGCATTTGACTCTATCTCAATCCATTGAGAAGTTGCAGCACTTTGAAATCAATTTTGATGGAAAAAATCAACGCAAAATAGTGATTTTTGGCAATTTTGAGATGTCCCCTCGTTGCCATGGTAACAGAAAATTTAAGCCTGAGCATGTTGTTGCAAA